TTTTGTTACTTTTCCATTCCTTTCTTTTGTCTGGACCATAACTTGAAGACTAATGGTTGGAATTCAATATTAACTTCATACAATGTCAAGCACATTGAGAGGAAGTGCAGTGCACAAGAACCATAACTCCATCTTGACTAATTAAAGAGTTATTGCCCTTTGTTACTTTTCCTTGTCCAGAGCATAATTTGAAAACTACTGACTGAAATTCAATACAACTTCATACAGTTGTCAAGGACATTAAAAGGAAGTGCAGTGCACAAGAGCCATAACTCCATTTTGACAAAATACAGAGTTACTGCCCTTTGATACTTTTCCTTGTCCGGAGCATAACTTAAAACATACTGGTTGGAATTCAAAACAACTTCATACAATTGTCAAGCACAATAAGGGAAGTGCAGTGCACAAGAACTATAATTCCATCTTTAGTCTTTATAGAGTTATTGCCCTTTGTTTCTTTTCCTTGTCTTTCTGGACTTATTACAGAGAAATTCAATAAAACTTCATCAATGGCCAACCACATTGAAAGGAAATGTAACATACAAGAACCACAACTATCTTTAATTGCCCACAACCATAACTCCTTATTTCAATTCTTTTACAAGGTATTCTGTTACTAGTAACATCCTCATTTCTGAAGCAGTCTTGTGGGGGTATTAATCACATTTAGTGATAGTTCTAGTTCATTCTGAAGAGATATTATTGTAAAAACTGTTACAATGTGAATAGACATGAAATTCAAAATTAAAATATCTTGAATTCATATATATTTATTAAAACTTAAAATATCTTCATTTTATTTGTGTTTCTGCATTTATCTTGATGTATAGTACATTGTATATGTAAATACAATTAAACAGAATCCTTTTTGTTCGCATTTAGAACCACAGTAGAATCCCTACTAAAGACCACCTTGGATTTAAGACCGCCCCGCTTTTAAGACCAGCTTTTAAAAGAACGGAATTTTCTGTTCTTTATGTCAATGGTTACATGATCCAGAATTAAGACCACCTCACTTATTCACTTTTAAGACCACCAAATTCAGTCCCAATTCATTATTTTGTTCTTTATTTGACCTCACTATTGAGACCACTGATATTAAAATCTTAAAACCTTTGGTGTTCCTAGATCTTAAATATGTTGCTATTTTGTTATTATCTGCTTCATTGCTCTTAGGCATGACACTTGTTTACACATTTTAAGACAACCAAATTCAGTCCCAATTCATTATTTTGTTCTTTATTTGACCTCACTATTGAGACCACTGATATTAAAATCTGAACACCTTCAGTGTTCCTATATCTCAAATGTGTTGTTATGTTGTTATTATCTGCTTCACTGCTCTTAGGCATGACACTTGTTTACACAAGGTGTCAAAAACTGTTATGTATGGGATATTTTATGAAAAAAGGTGAGAATGTTAATTTCATAGTGGTTTTAATGCTGCATTATGCACATTTCTTTTGTGAAGAAATAATGTCTGATATGATATGTGAATTATGTACATCATAAAATAATTACTATTGAAATTAGAACAAGAAAATTTGATATTAAAAAATTTCTTCAGAAATATGTTTTCTTCTCATCAGATGTAACATTATAACATACTTTCATATTGTATTTGCAAGTTAAGATACATATGGTTTGTTCATACAAAATGACCAAAATAGGCCCTGGTCATAACGTGTGTAAGCAATGATAAGAATATCCACAATTAAGACTACCCCGCAATTAAGACCACTTTGGTCCAGTCCCGATGGTGGTCTTAACTGAGGGTTTTTACTGTATATCCTTTATTTTCATATAAAAATAATGACATTTACTGGTAGCTATATTAAGATAATGACATTTAGCTTACATTAAGATAGTTACTATCTTAAAGTCATCTTCTCTATCTGTCTATTAAATGATATTATTAACAATTATATTGGAGAAATTCACTAAATGACATTGTCTACATTCAGACATTACGTGGAACATAAATTGTCCAAAGAGGAAGTTAATTAGGCTGTTATTGCTGTTATTAATGGTTCGCGTATTAGATGGTCATATTAAAAGCCATAGGTCAAGAGTCGCTTTCCTTGCGAAAAAATAATCACTGGATGTAAAATTAACATCATAAAACATCCCCTGCTGTAAATCTGATTATTTTTTTATTATTTTTATGATAATAGCGTTGGGATTATTTAATGTATATAAGAAATTTATGTGGCAAACAGATGAAGAAATTACTTTTTTTCCAAAATTAGGTTTGCTAACTGTGACCAAAAATAGTACTTGTTTAATCAACCACAAACTAATCTTTATTAGTCTGTTGGATTTTCCAAGCTGACCTTTTATGGAATTTAAAATAAAGGAATCTTCAAAAGTGTTGACAGAATGAGTTTCAAAAGACAAAGCTCTATGATTTATTAATTCCAGGAAAATCTAAGATATTTATAAATGATATTAGTCATTATATGGTGCAAAATATACAAAACAGCTATACATGAATTGTTAATGGAAAAAAAGAAGAGGTATTCAGTGAATTTATGTCTTCTTTAAACAATATCGTATAGTAAGAGGATTATTGCTACCTTCATTTTCTTTATTTTGTTATGCCCCTGCCATATAATGGCAGGGGCATATAGTGTTACCCTGTTTCGTCATTCCGTCATTCCTTCATCATCAGTTTCCGTTCATTATCTTAGTAACAGTTGCACATATTCAACTCAAATTTGGCATATGGATATGTCATGAGAAAATACAGGTCAAGTTTGACTTTAGTCATGGTTCGATGATTTTTGGTAGAGTTATGCCCCTTTTACTTTGAAAATAATATGAAAATTTCAGTTTCCGTTCATTATCTCCCCAACGGTATTACACATTCAACTCAAACTTGACATATGGATATGTCATGAGAAAATACAGGTCATGTAAAAATTTGGTCTTGGTTCGATGATTTTTGGCAGAGTTATGCCCCTTTTACTTTGAAAATAATATGAAATTTTCAGTTTCCGTTCATTATCAACACATTCAACTCAAATTTGACATATGGATACATCAAAGGAATGCACAGATCAAGATCAAATTTGGTCATGGTTAAATGATTTTTGGCAGATTTATGCCCCTTTCACTTTGAAAATGATATAAAATTTTCAGTTTCTCTTCATTATCTCCCCAACAGTGTTACATACATGTATAATGATGTATTCAACTCAAATTTCACATATGGATATGTCAAAGACATGCGCAGGTCAAGTTCGAGTTTGGTCATGGTTCGATGATTTTTGGCAGAGTTATGTCCCTTTCACTTTGAAAATAATATGAAATTTTCAGTTTCTGTTCATTATCTCCTCTAGGGTATATTACACATTCAACTCAAATTTGACTTATGGGTACATCAAAGAAATATGCAGGTCAAGTTAAAATTTTGTCATGGTTCGATGATTTTTGGCAGAGTTATGCCCCTTTAACTTTGAAAAAAAAGGAAATTTTCAGTTCCTATTCATTATCTACACAACGGTTGTACATATTCAACTCAAATTAAAGCTATGTATATGTTATAAGAATGCATTTGTCAATTTCCAATTTGGTTATGGATTCATGATAGCTAACAGAGTTATCCCTCATGAACTTTGAAAAAAATCAGATATTTTAAGTTTCAGTTCATTATCTCCCCAATGGTTGTACACAGTAATTCAACTCAAATTTGACATATAGATACATCTTAGGAATAAGCAGTTCAAGTTTGATTTGCTCATGGTTCAATGATTTTGGACAAAGTTATCTCCCTTGAATGTTGGAAAAATTTTGAATTTTCAGTTTCAGCACTCATACTTTTGTGGAAATGTATGTAGCCATTAATTTGGCTAGAAATATGCAATATTCAATTTACAAAAGGTTAACACTGAATACTTTCAGTGCCTTGAACTTTGTTTAAAAATGGTTTGTGTTAAGATTGAATAGTTTTAAGGACTTTAAACTTAAAATCCGTGGCATGACGACACATTTCTAGTTGAATAATATTTTTTACAGTATTGTTCTTAAGACATACACAATTTAATGTTGAAATTAGCAAGATAAAAATTCCCTTTGAAAATATTAGATAATTGATTAGAAGGAGGAATTCTCTATTCCTAACTTATGTAGTGAGAATTTCCTAGTTATTTTTACTTTGACACAGCTATTTTTGTTCTCATTTACAGAAAATTTAAAGGAAAAGGATTTTGAAAAATTATGCGAAGAGCATTATATTAAAACAGTTTTATTATAATTTAATTATAATCTTTTCAAATTTCATGCATCCAATTTCAATTTAAGACAAGTATACTCTATCTTTATTCCAATTTCATTGTTTTGTTGCTTGTTTACAGTCCTGAAATAACAAGAAAAACTAAACTTGTTTTCTTTAAGGAGGTTCAGCTTCTCAGTTTAGATTGAAAGATGAGGAGGAGTGGAATGTTGAAGGTAGTGATACATCACCTGCACTTGCCCTTGACCTAGATAGCTTGTCACAATCTCTAGACTGTATCCCACTACATGAAAGACTGGGTATTAAAGAAAATGTTTTTACTGTAAGTACAATATGACTAATGATCAGTATGAAAATGACCTGACAATTTTTATGCTCCCCGAAAAAATTTCGGGGGAGCATATAGTCGCCGCCTTGTCCGTCCGTCCGTCTTTCCGTCCGTCCGTCCGTCCCCTTTTCTTGTCCGGGACATAACTTTGAAACAACAAGAGGTATCAACATGAAACTTTGTAGGTAGATAGATCTCATTGAGTAGGTGTGCAGTGCACAAGAACCGTAACTCTGCCTTGCCTAATTTTTGAATTATTCCCCTTTGTTTATTTTTACACTTTGAACTTTGTCCGGGACATAACTCTAAAAGTATAAGAGGTATCAACATGAAACTTTGTAGGTAGATAGATCTCATTGAGTAGGTGTGCAGTGCACAAGAACCGTAACTCTGCCTTGCCTAATTTTTGAATTATCCCCTTTTCTTTATTTTACACTTTGAAATTTGTCCGGGACATAACTCTAAAAGTATAAGAGGTATCAACATGAAACTTTGTAGGTAGATAGATCTCATTGAGTAGAAGTGCAGTGCACAAGAACCGTAACTCTGCTTTGCCCAATTTTTGAATTATCCCCCTTTGTTTATTTTACACTTAGAAATTTGTCCGGGACATAACTCTAAAAGTATAAGAGGTATCAACATGAAACTTTGTAGGTAGATAGATCTCATTGAGTAGAAGTGCAGTGCACAAGAACTGTTACTCTGCCTTGCTTAATTTTTGAATTATCCCCCTTTGTTTATTTTACACTTTGAACTTTGTCCGGGACATAACTCTAAAAGTATAAGAGGTATCAACATGAAACTTTGTAGGTAGATAGATCTCATTGAGTAGGTGTGCAGTGCACAAGAACCGTAACTCTGCCTTGCCTAATTTTTGAATTATCCCCTTTTCTTTTATTTTACACTTTGAAATTTGTCCGGGACATAACTCTAAAAGTATAAGAGTATCAACATGAAACTTTGTAGGTAGATAGATCTCATTGAGTAAGTGTGCAGTGCACAAGAACCGTAAACTCTGCCTTGTCTAATTTTTGAATTATCCCCCTTTGTTTATTTTACACTTTTGAACTTTGTCCGGGACATAACTCTAAAAGTATAAGAGGTATCAACATGAAACTTTGTAGGTAGATAGATCTCATTGAGTAGGTGTGCAGTGAACAAGAACCTTAACTCTGCCTTGCCTAATTTTTTGAATTATCCCCCTTTGTTTATTTTTACACTTTGAACTTTGTCCGGGACATATTTCTTAATGTATAAGAGATATCAACATGAAACTTTGTAGGTAGATAGATCTCATTGAGTAAGTTTGCAGTGCACAAGAACTGTAACACTGTCTTGCCTACTTTTGTAGTTATTGCCCTTTGTTCATTTTGACACTTTGAACTTTGTCTGGGACATTACTCTAAAATTATAAGAGATATCAACATGAAACTTTGTAGATAGATAGGTCTCATTGGGTGGAAGTGCAGTGCTTAAGAATCATTACTCTGCCTTGCCTTATTTTGAAGTAATTGCCCTTTGTTTATTTTTACTTTTTGACTTTTGTCCTGGACATTACTTTAAAACTATTAGAGATATCAACATGAAACTTTGTAGGTAGCTAGATATAATTGGATAGAACTGCAACGCTTCAAGAACCTAAACAAAGCCTGGTCTAATTTTGGAGTTATTGCCCTTTGTTCATTTTTTTTATACTTTCCTGTGTCCAGAACCTTCTCGGGGAGCATCACCCGGTTCAACTGGTTCTTGTTTTTTATGTTTTTTTACCCATGTATGTAATGGCACATACATGAAATTGGAATTCCATTCCACCAACACAGTAAGGTCATATGGCCACTTTCCAGCTTTACTTGTTAATGAAGATCTTACATATTTGTGCCCTTCCATGTATTATTTCAGGCACAAAAGGGCATCTGAGTAGAAACCCTGACATTCTGTAAGCTAGTTGGATAGGCTCTTCACATTAAAGAATCCAAAGTCCATGATGGGATTTGAACCCACAGCGGTGAAGAGCAAGTGGTTTGAAGTCGGCAACCTTTACCACTCATTGATAAAAAAGAGTTTAAATCTTACTTAAAGTAGCAGCACAGTATTTTGTTATGTTTTTTTTGTCCGTTTATGTACAGTTTTCATGACATGTGTGTTAAATAACTGAAACATTCTATGTTCCATATATGCTATATGCCTTGAATCATGCTTTTATTATTTGGTCATTTTAGCTCAGTAAGATTTTCTTAAGACTCATGAACTCAGAATTTGAACTTTATAGTTTAGAATCAATCTTCCTTATATAAGTTTTGTAAGGTATGAATACCGTTTTTAAATTTCTAAATAATCTTGACAGTTGAAACATTATTAGTTACTAATAATTTATGTAGAAATGGTTGTTTTATTTACAGGAGGAACAAATAATTGAGATGAAAGGATACTCAGCTGATGTTGAACAGAAATATAGAACAACATTTCCTATAGCCAGCAACAAGAACAAATCGAAGAACAGTGGGCAAGAATCTGCTGGTATTGTAACAAATAACAATGATTCAAGTGCAAAAGAAACTGATTTTGTAGGTAAAACAAGTGTAAAAACAGCCAATATTACAACTGTGACAAATGATAAAGAAAAGCCAAAAGCTGAAATAAATGAAATTAAGCATGGCAAGAATGAACATAAAACAACAATAAAGAACACTGAAGTGGAAAGTTTAGAGGACGATCTGGACATGATTCTTTCTTTAGATGGCAGTAAAGATGAAACAGCCAATATTGTTAAAAATGTTGATAAAAAAGTTAAGAAAGATCAACAAAAAGATCAACTAAAAGGGAAATCTGATGTTATAAAAGTATCAAATAATGTAACAGAAAAAGTGATTAACTCTAAAGGTAAGGTAGTATGAAGTTTGATACTTGCTATTGTTATTGCATTATTTTAATATCTTTAATACTAAAGATAATTTAAGGTGACCTGAGTTTTAGCTCATGTGAAGTTAATTTTATTTTGAACATCATCAAACTTCATCAGAATGTTTTTTTCTATGATATCTTTTATGAGTTTGAGATGAGTCATTTGAGAATAAAACTAGTTCACTAACTGTAATCAAAGAAAAACCTTTTGATGCTATAGAGCTGAAGAAAACATTGTTAACAGTCACAAGGTCAATAATTAGGATTCCATCTTCATCCAAACTTCCTCAGATGATATCTCGAATTAATCATGTCAGGTCAAAAACTAGGTCAGAACGTCAAAGCAGGGGACATTTAAATTCTAAATGTAATAATTTCTTTTTATCACACAACCATGCCGATTTTGCGACTCCGTAAATATGGTATTGCATGTCCATACATATATTTTGATGTGACGTCATTAGTGTTATACAAACATGGTGTAAAGACACGCTAAATGTTATACTATAGGCGCTTCAATGAAAAATGACTCTTATTTCACTTTAAACGGTCTTTTATTTGGGTATGTGATAAATAGAATATTAAATTCATGTAAGTTCATTACTGAATTTATTGCACTTGAATAAAATTATATTATGGACTCTGGCGAGCATAATATTATTTTATTCAACTTGTGCAATAAATTCAGGATTGAACTTAAATCATTCAATATCCTCTATTTGGGTCATATTTGAAGGAATTGCAGGTCACTGATACCCGTAACTCTAAAATAGACTATGAGTGAATTACTTCATCGTATGAATTTATCCAACTGCAAAGATCTGAAATCTGACTCATTAAAAAGAGAGTTTACTCCACATTATGTAATAGTCAGTTCCTTACAGTATTTGTATATACATGTAGTATAATCATCTGTCTTCATAAAAATATGCTATATTTCAATATATTATACACTATACAGAATTAAAAGAAAAAGTGAAATTGAAATTTAGAATGGAATTTTTTCTTATCCAATACCATTGTATTGTATCATGTATGCTTTAAATGATATAGATATAGATCAGTAAAGTTTACCTAAAAGTAACAGCTTATTTTGTATGAACTCTGTTTATTGTTGCCTTTTCTATGTTTCAGGAAATGAGAATCTGGAAGACTGGCTGGATTCCATGTTGGATGATTGACAGATATTTGAAGACAAAGATACTTAACATTGATTTGTATGAATAAGACAAATACAAGAATGAAATGTACTCTTTATTTCAACCATTACTTCCTTTTTTTGTGTGCAAATGAGCAAGTTTGCTTTCAATAGCTCAGTAATTAAGTTATTGTGTATGAAAGTTGTGATGGCACATAACTAAAAATATAAATAGCATCAATGACTTGTAAATTTGTAACTATTTTACAGTTTATGTCATACATATATTATAGTTTATAGCTATGCTATTGTGAATATTACATACATTGTCTTGACTGCATTAGAATAAAAGTGACCAAATCTTGCAGAAAACACTTAAGCACATGTTTTAAGATTTATTTTAATATTCATTTGCAAATGCTTAATACCTTTTTTTGAAATGAAGAATACAAAATAAAATTTGAAATAAATTTTAAAAAATTCAAAATAAATTTTTCACTCACTTATTTCATTATGAATGCAGAAAATAACTGATTTTTATAGCATATCAATTTGATATGTTTGCATCTTAGTATTAGGTATTGTAAATACATAAAAATAGCTGTTTTGACTTTTGATGGTTGTGTGTCACAATAAGTGATAAACATTGATAAAAACTTTATAAATGTTGAAATTTACCATAAGAACAAAGAAACTTTTTTATGACTTTTCATGTGATCTGTATTAGAGATTTGATTTCAAGTGTATAGAACTCCAAGATAATAGGTATTGTATGCAACAGTTATCTGTCATCAAACCAAATTTTCATTGACATTGAAATATGGAAAAAGTACAAATGACTTTAATGTTGATATTACATATGTCAAGCTTTTGATAGATGTAACACATTATGATTATTTCCATGCATATTGTATGTTGTTATGACCTGTAGTTTTCTACATAATGTGTGAAAAGGCTTTCCAGCATGTTGCATATGCTTGTAAATTATTTACTTATTTTCAGTTGTCTGTTATTCATATTTAAAGCTGCATGCCTCCAGATGAGTCAAACTATTTCAATAAAATCAAACTTGAGAAATATGTATTACGATTTTAGGAAAAGTAAAATAATTCAAGATTCAAGTAATATTTTACATGTTATATGCGGTTAATGACTGATTTTTCAATATTTACAAGTATATTTCTACTGCGTTACTAACGCAGTAAGGGCTATTTATGCATATTTTGACAATTTTTTGGTAATTTACATGGGTTGTAAGTGTCATTGATACAGTGTGTAATGTGCAAATTGCTTCCTTTTGGTTATTTCACAATATTGTACATTCAAATACTTTTTCAAAATTTTCATGAAAATTAGCGTGAATCTGGAGGCATGCTGCTTTAACAATAAATATGGTAGATCTACTTTTAATTTGATTGTGTTTGAAATACAAACAAAATAAGTTTTACATTTTGAAAATATTTATTATTTGACCAAAATTTATAAGGTAAAACTTCACCATAAAACAAGTGTTGATATCCGTCCAAAGCAGTTATGGTATTTGAATATTATTTACAAAGGCATTTCACAGAAACTTATGGGTGACATGATGGGATGTAGTCTGCAGATGATATTAATATTACAGCAAAGTTCGTTCTATTCCCCATACTGTTTAAAAATCCTGCTGTAGTGAATGTTTTCATAATTATTTGTAGCTTGAAATCATCAAAGAAAAAAATTGAGCTTTTGTTACAGTCATGATGTCGTTCATGTGGCCTTCATTTCATCACAGTTTTTAATTTGTAAATGAATTGTCTTCATGCTTGGACACATCAGGTTCTTAGGACAAGTCCATGTAGCGAAGAATAATAACTTTGACATTGGTACATATATGACATTGAACTTACAGGACAAACTTGAATTTTGCTTTTTATTTATTTTTACTTCAATTGGCTATATATTTGTAATTCATGGAAATATGGCCTAATAATTATATGAACATAACAGTTACTACCATTTTAACCAAATTTTTAAGAATCATTGACCTGAATTTGACCTTATTATTCATGTTCCAATTACTTATTTTGCTAAAATTTGCCATTTTAACTATTATAATTAATTAATTTGATTCATACTTTGAAAAAACAGACATGTTGAACAATTCAAATATAACCTTGACCTTTAAATGATATCGTCTGTTAATAAAAAAATAGTTAATGATTGGATAGAACCAGCGATAAGTAGTTTGTTAAAATGTTGCCAATGTTGAGTTGCACAGTTTTGTTTAATATATGATTTTAAAGATCTAACAAATTTGTGACACATAAGTAACATTAAAAATTTCATATGTACGTATATGAGTGTTTTACACAAGTCTTTTGCATGTGGATCATTCTTGGTGAGTTATTTATGTAGGAATGTTGTCTAAAACCTGCCGTCTCCTGAAAAACTCTTGAAGTAACAGTTTAGATTAACACTTTTCAAAGGACATAAAAAGGTTTGAGAAATGAATGTGTGGTTTTAATTCGTGAAATTCGTGAGATTTATCAGATATGCATAGATCTTAATACATGTATATGATAATAAAAATAGAAAAAGTAATAAAAATATATGAAAGAGAAGTTAATAACTAAGACCATTATGTTTATCCTAATAAACATACTAAAAACTTACTAAAATATACCTGAAGTCAACAGCGACGCTGCTTGTCAAAAAACCTGGAAAAAAAAACGGATTTCGGGTACTTAAAAGGTATGAAAACACATAAAAGTTTGTATTTTCCGTGAAAACTTATTTCCTCTAACTTTATAGTTACAGCAAGGAACACGTTTTAGTTCTCTAAATTTTGTATTTATTGACACCAGAAAAAATGAATCTCTTGTGGTGTCTTCTCGCAAAGCTAAAAGCATTTTAACACTCAAAATCATGTTTTATTTTCTCGACATGTGACAAAAAATATCGTATAATTTGATTAGCCAGATTGCCTTGAGCAAAAGTCTCAAATAGAATTATCATTTCCGATTTCTAGAGCAGCCATCTATCAACTGCGTTTACTTCTAAGACAGATGATGTTGAACTTGCACTTGAACAAGAGGTTAACGGTTTTGTAAATTGTAACACTTTTTACCAAAATGTGGAATAATTTATTAAATTTCTTTTATCTAGTTCCCTTGTCAGGTTTAATTTCACCTTAATTGTCGTCTATTGTATTTTTTCAACGCTAAACACTAAAGTCCTGATGAATTTTTAGCTCACCTGTCACAAAGCGACAGGGTGAGCTTTTGTGATCGCTTTTCGTCCGTCGTCCATCCGTAAACTTTTTCTTTAAATAACATCTCCTCATTAACCACTGAGCCAATTTCATCCAAACTTCACAGGAATGTTCCTTTGGTGGTCACCTTTAAAAATTGTTCAAAGAATTTAATTCCATGCAGAACTCTGGTTGCCATGGCAACCGAAAGAAAAAACTTTTAATATCTTTTTTTTTAAAAACCGTAAGAGCTAGGGCGAAGATATTTGGCATGAAACATCTTCTAGTGAGTGTCTACCAAGTTTGTTCAAATAAAAGCCCTGGGGTCTAAATTGGCCCCGCCCCAGGGGGTCATTGATTTTCCCTAAATGCATATAGTAAAAACTTAAAAAGTATTCTTTTAAAGAACCCAAAGAGCTAGAGCTAAGATATTTAGCATGAAACATTTTCTAATGAGTGTCTACCAAGTTTGTTCAAATAAAAGCCCCGGGGTCAAAATTGGCCCTGCCCCAGGGGGTCATTGATTTTCCCTATATGCATATAGTAAACGCTTAAAAAATCTACTTTTAAAGAACACAAAGAGCTAGAGCTAAGCTATTTAGCATTGAACATGTTGTAATTGGTGTCTGCCAAGTATGTTCTAATAAAAGCCCTGGGGTCAAAATTGGCCCCGCCCCATGGGTCATTGATTTTCCTAATATGTGTATAGCAAAAACTTTAAAATCTTCTTTGAAAAAAACCAAATAGCTAGAGTTAAAATATTAAGCATGAAACATCTTCTAGTAAGTGTCTACAAAGTTTGTTTAAATGAAAGCCCTGGGGTCAAAACTGGCCCCGCCCTAGGGGTGTCATTTATTAACTAAATGTGTATAGTAAAAACTTAAAAAATCTTCTTTTAAGAAACCCAAAGAGCTAGAGCTTAGATATTTGGCATGAAACACCTTCTAGCGAGTGTCTACCAAGTTTGCTCAAATAAAAGCCCCGGGGTCAAAATTGGCCCAGCCCCAGGGGGTCATTGATTTTCCCTAAATGCATATAGTAAAAACTTAAAAAAAATCTTCTTTTAAAGAACCCAAAGAGCCAGAGCTAAGATATTTAGCATGAAACATCTTCTTGTGCGTGTCTACCAAGTTTGTTCAAATTAAAGCCCCGGGACTGTTCAAATAAGAGCCCTGGGGTCAAAATTGGCCCCCGGGGGATCATTGATTTTCCTTATATGTGTATATGCATATATACTATATGCACATAGTAAAAACTTAAAAATCTTCTTTGAAAAAACCCAAATAGCTAGAGTTTAGATATTAAGCATGAAACATCTTGTAGTAAGTGTCTATAAAATTTGTTCAAATAAAAGCCGTGGGGTCAAAACTGGCCCCGCCCCATCATTTATTAACTATATGTGAATAGTAAAAACTTAAAAAAATTTCTTTTAAGAAACCCAATGAGCTAGAGCTTAGATGTTTAGCATGAAACATCTTCTTATGGGTGTCTACCAACCAAGTTTGTTCAAATAAAAGCCCTTGGGTTAAAATCTGCCCTACCAGGGGTGGGGGCGGGGGCGCCATATACAGATGAGCGACTGCAGGGCCATCATGTCCTCTTGTTTCAAAGTATGACCACTAGCAATTCAATAAGTTTTCCTTTGACTTAATATTCCGGTAACTTATATTAATGGTAGAAATTGTTGACATAAACATTGACAGGAAATCTCGTTGACTAAACTGAAAATGTGGATTGTTACTTAACTATTGACATTTTTTTCTCATCCCAGAAAGCCCATTTTAATGTTTACCAATAATGAGACATTTTGAATAAGTGTCTTTAAATTCAAACCTATAAATTTGACTCCAGTATGAACGAGGGTTTTATTATGTCTCCCAAATTTTTTTTGAAGACATATTTTTTTGCCGTCTGTCTGCCGAGGCTATTCAAGAGTAATAGGGGGGGGGGGGGGGCATCTAACTGAAAATGGAAAAAAAGAGAACAATAGAGTTCATTCCGTAATAATAGAATAAGGGGTCACGACCCTCTATTAAACACATGATAATAACAAAAGAAATGGCCCTTTCGTCCATTTAAGTGGCACGTCCGTCCGTTCGTCCAGTTGTATGTCCGCCCGCATTAAGCTTGTCCAGCCTTCACAGGACAAACTACTTGTGAGATTTCAACCTAACTACAGGCGTGATCAGTACCATCCCCATTTGTGCACATTACCAGCACGTTTTGCTTCGCTGTACTTATGGCCACCAGA